GGTTTGGGGTTTAGGATTTAGGGGTTGAGGGCATCTAGGATTAGGGTCAAAAGCAGCGTCGTCTGACGTCGCCTGTCAGGACCAGAAGACCTCCAAAATAAAGTACCCCCAATTTTCGGAGACTCCCGTATGGATCTATCCAGGTCGTGCGTGTCAAGACTTGGCTCAGACCCAGCCCTGGAGACTGCAGGGGCTTCTTTCAAACTCTGGAAACCGCACCTCGGGGTCCTTGAAGTACGGATGGGCCAATGTACAGAAGCAACTACAGTAGAAGGTGCCTACCCTAAGGCCCCAAAGTAGTTCCTTTTTGGGGGATCACATATAGAATCATAGAAGGCAATCCCAAAAAGGAACTACTTTGGGGCCTATGGGTAAATAGAACTCAGGTTTGCAAGCTTTGCTCCGGTGTATTTTGAAAATCAGTCTCGGGTCTTCACTTGGCAGAGGTGATCCCAGAGGCATCCTTCACTGCTCACTCCTGCTCCATAAACTGAGAGACGCTTTCGAAGGCTCATACCACGAGTTTCGGGGTGCACGGAACGTGCTCGACCTGTGGGGGTCTCACGACGTCTAAGGTTTAGAGTTTAGGAGTTTAGGACATGAGGCAAGCATGAACCCTTTCCCAACACTTCAAAATCCCATAGAAGCCCTCCCAATCTTGAACTGTAACGAAAGTTGAAAGGAGCTGAACCTCCACCGTGAAATCTAACTCCGAGGGCTTGCACCACCAAACGTAGGCTTCGACATTGCAGAGTGCAGAGTCATTCAGAATATCTGCTGCCTGGTGTAGAACATCTTCCCTGGCTTTTGGAATATGTTTCTTATTAAAAAAAACAAGCAGACATTTGTCCAATGAGACCCTATAGCCCCAAAAACCCTATAACCCTAAGTCCTTGTAGCCGCAATCAACCCAACAGCTCTCCAACGCCAACTCCCTATAACCCCCTGAGCCCCCAAATCCCTATAACCCTAAACCCCAAATCCCTCTAACCCTACAGGCCTAAATCCCTACAATCCTAGACCCTACAGCCCTAAAACCTCATAACCCTGAACCCTATATAAACCCTAAATTCAAAACCCTAGAACCCTATAACGCTATAACCCTAAACCCCTAAATCCCTAAACCATAAACCGTACACCGAAAGCCCTGTAGCCCTACACCCCAACTAACCCACAACCCTCAGCCCACATCCCAATCACCTCAAGCCCAATGGCCTGGCGTCTGCGGTTCCTCTCCAGAAGAAGGGCCAGGTCCTTCCAGTTTAGGGTTCAAGGTTTAGGGCATGGGGTTGAGGGTTTAGGGGCTAGGGTTTAGAGTGTGGGGTTTGGGGTGTAGGGTCTAGGGCAATTATTACCGTAAGGCCCGGCGAGGTCCTTCCAGTCTTTCTGCAGCTCGCTGGGCTCCACCTCGAGGTCATGCATGCATGCACGCACCTACATCTAATACATACACACCCATATATCTACATTTATGCGTATAATATATATATATATATATATATGTGTGTGTCTAATTATATGTGAGTTTAAATACGTCTATATGAAAATAGCCGATTCTAGTCATGAACACTCTTATCTTTGTATAATTGTTTATGTATATATCTAGCTATATTTAAACAAATTTATAGAGAGACAGAGAGGGAGATCTTTGGGATTTCGCACTATCTGGAATGGAATTAAGGGAAGGTTGCAAAAATGCGAACGTTCTCAACAGTCGAACTGAAGACCTCTATGCTGCAAGCATTTGTCTATTCAGGATCAGGACAAGGCCCCAAGCTTTCAAGGCTCCTAGATGTGGCAACAATCTTTCCATGCCGTTGATGCACGATCTGCGTCTTGTACCCAGCTTCCTGAGCCAGGCGGAGGTAGGGCGACATCTCCTTCACATTTTCAGGACTGACCCGGAAATCACATATCCCTGAAGACTAAGACCCAGAAACCACTCAAGCACACCAGGGTCGATGTTGCAAGGCTTGGTGAGTCCTTCCAATCGCAAAAGCGCAGACTAACATCTCGGGCATCGACTCTGGATGGTTCCCCAAAGTCGACGGGACGCATGTTTGAATGAAGGAATGGATGCATGGATGGATATATAGATACACAGGAAAGTTCGTTTGCATGCAAGCATGTATGTACGCATGTATGCAGGTTTGTTCGATTCGTTTGTGGGCTTGCCAATAGTGTATGTCTGCATGAATGTATGCATGTGAGCCATACATACATACATACATGCATGCATGCATACATGCATTCATACATGCATAACCTAACAACTACATACGAATTATACATATATATATATATGTATAGGTACAGCATTGGTGTGCATGTATGAACCTTGGAGATCATCCACGCGCACGTGCACCCCCCCAGCAATACATGCACAAGCACACAACAGAACGCATGTCTTTGTCTTCCTACATAAGATAAATTCGAGTAGAACATCCGCACATACATCATTTTCTGCACGAGTGCCAACCACAAACTCCCTGCCCGAGTGGCGCAAAACTGAAAGTGCAATGCTGCGAAGCGCCACTAATACATGAAGCTGCTTGGTCCTTCTTGGACATGTTCGTGTTATCGACGATGATTGGCTTCACACCCAGTCTGGTGAGGATCTTCACACGCTCCTGGCACTCGTCCAACGAACCATCACTCAATGGAGAAGGGCATGGAAAACACGAGGACTACTTGACCAAATCCTGAGAGCCAAGCAGAGTCCATGTGTTGGCGAATGCTTGATACATGTGAGCTTTCTTGAGGCCAAGTCAGCAAATCTCAGCCTGCGCAATGGTACCGCACTTCCGCGCAATGGTCTGCACGGTCCTATCGTCTTTCTGTCCTCTTCGGCTATCCCTTGCACTCATACGACCTCCGGTGTCCTGATTCTTGGCATGATTGCGGCCAAGCTTGGATTTGTCGTAAGTGTAGACCTGTCCCAAAGTTCGGACTTGCACTTGGAAGCATGTAAATACATGCGTATGTCGTTGCGCATGTATGTATGTATGTATGTATGTATGTATATGAACGTAGTATGTCACGCTGCTGCACTGCACATGACCGCATCTAGCCCATGTAGTGTGACACTGGACACCGTCCTAAACTCAGGGGCAGCACTTGCTGCTGCAGCAATCTTAGGTCCTACCTCGCCATACTTGTCTAGTCGCGCAAGACCTCCTAGTCCTAGTCGGAACTCAAGGAGACCCGAAATCTTAAATGGGTCCTGAGCCCTGCAATGGAGACCCTGAACCTTCCATCCTAACCCCGAAGGGCAAATGGGAGTTTCGGAAAGTAGGGGGCCTTGATGTAGTACCCTAAATAGTAGGATCCCTACTATAAGGCCACCAGATAAAGTACCCCTGATTTTCGGATGACTTTGCTACCCCCTGGTGGAGGCTCCTGCCCGGAACTCTGGAACTTCGTGAAGAAATCATCCGTAGAGCAAATGTGAAGGAGCTGCTGCCTCAAGGGTTTAGGGTCCATCTTTGAGCGGTTTTGGGGTATAGGGCTTATAGACTTATAGAGTTGATAGGGTTTAGAGGTTTTGGAGTGTAGGATAACCTTATTAAAGGGTTTACAGGGTTGAGTTCGCAACCTGTCAACCTGGTTCCTCGGGCCGGCGCACAAAAAACGGCAAACATCATAACAGTGAACCTATGGAGCCATGGGAATACAACAATCAACAGCGAGAGGAGTCATAGAATGGAAGCTGCGGCAGCCATACCAAAATCTTCCGAATACCAGCACCCAAAAACTCGCGAGGATAGGTGCAAGCGCTAAGCTTGAAAGCTTCCGCCCAGCAGCGCGAGCGAAGGGGCCTTGTCCAAACCTAGCCTCACCGGCGGCCCAGAGAGAGTCGCAAGGCCGAAGTTTCGAGCAAAAACGAGTTATTTTAGTTTTTTTTTGGGGGGTGTGAACGAATCAGATCGCCAGGAGACTGCAGGCGGGGGCTTGGGAAATGAAACCTGCTACTGCCACTACTACAAGTGCAACTGCGGCTCCCACTCCTCCACGCCTCCTACTCCTGCTGCTACTAGTACTGGTACTATTATAGCGCCAGTGCGAGTGCCAGTGCCAGTGTTAGTGCTAGTGAAAGTACTGCAAACGAAGCTGCTGCTGCTACTACTACTACTACTACTACTACTACTACTACTACTACTACTACTACTACTACTACTACTACTACTACTACTACTACTACTATATACTACTATTCGCTGCTACCACGACGACGACTACTACTAGTTGCCGCTACTTACTCCTACTCCTTGCACGTTCCTTCGACTCCGACTCCCTCTACAGCTATGGCTACGACTCGATGACGACGAAGGTGCTGTTGCTACACACAACCACTGCCACTGCTGCAATGCCAACAACAACAGTGATACTGCGAGTGACAAGTAAGTGTATAGACAGATCAACTCGATCACCAAACAACTACTAGCCAATACGGAAACAACGCAAACAAATGCAGGTATGCTAGCGTCCCAGGTTGGGCCTTTCGGACAAGATCTGCCGCGCGCGCGTGGACTTGCCCACTCCCGGCGGGCCGCGCATGACGATCAGCCTCGGGTGAGCCAGGGTGTAATGTGGAGCTTTCAAGCCTTGAGAGGAATTAAGCAGCCCTGGGGCTCTCTTGCGCTGAAGCAAACCCGCAAAGTTTAGGGTAGAGTTTAGGGTAGAGGGGTTCAGGGGTTGGGGCTTATAGAACGTACAAGGCTAAGGCCTAAGGCGGCGAAGGCACTCCGCAACATTTCTGGAGTCCCATGGGCGGCCGTGCAGGTAGGCCTCGCCTTAATTTGCATTGCAGGATTCATGTTCTGGCTGTTGTCGGGTGTCCATGACTTTGGTTGCGGTCGGGCTACCTACGGCTTGGGGTTACAGGCTTAAAGATGCTTAATGTGTCAGGGTTTATAGGGCTTTGGGTTTTAGGGTTTGGGTGTACGCATCACACAATCAAGTTCTGCAGACGTACGTATCGAAAGCATGGATCCCAATTCTGCAACTGTGCTCGCATCACAACCTGGTTTGTCACAGCGCTGCTACACAGCGGGCAAGCTTGTGCTTCGTGGGCCCCCGCAAGTCTTGTTCTTTATGTTCCACTCGAGATCATAGCTTCAACTGCGGAAGTGAAAAGAGAGACTGATCTGCGGCGGACCTTTCCTCAAAATAGAAGACAGTCCCATACTTGTGGCCCAAAAAATTTCCAAGTATGCCCTCTCTCCTTTTCCACCACTGAGCGGCATGCCTGCTCCACGTCTTGCTCCACGACGATTTGCCCACCCTTCCGACTGAAAAGGAGCGTCAAAAGCCTTAGCTTGAGATCCAACGGAAAACTGCATGATGTCAATTTCGCGGCCTCGAAACTTCTCGTTACAGCTAGCTTGTGCAGCCTCTACTGATGGCTCTTTTTGCTGCAGCCACGCTACATCCTTCAAAGACGATTGTTGCGGCAAGACGTAGATGAAAAGATGGTCGATGGCAATGATCACATGAAGCTGAATGTTGCTCGAAGTGTTTCATGAGTGTCATGTGTCTATTGCCCAGCACTAGGATGTACGATGACAGCACCGGAAGCGTGTAAGCCACATCAATACCAAATATTGCCATGACGATACGGAATGCCGTTGTTTTGACAGAAGCGGAACACTCAAGAAAACGCTGCAATGCAGGGGCCACGATGGGCCACAACGAGCTCTATAGGGTATAGTTTGGTCCAGTATGGCATGGTATACTAAGTTAGTTGTCAGGAACCCAAAGGAATAGTACTCGATGGCTCTATGCTCTTCCTGAGTTTTGCAGGCTTCCATATGCTATAGTCTATATCACACAGCAAATTCTACACTGCCACTATCACCACTACCGGTACGAGACGACGAGAAGATTCGGAGCACTACAAAATAGCCCCAAACCCCACACCCCATAAGCCTAAATCCCAAAATCCCAATACCGCCAAACCCCAAAACTCGGAACCCAAAAAGCCCTAAACCCTCCATACTAAAGGCTTTGCAACTCGGTGGCTGTCTAATCAAGGCATCGGAGATGTTGGTCTTCGTCGCTGGCTTGGCCGGACGGGGCCGGGGAGGGCGTTCCTGCATCAGAGCTTTGGGATCGGAGCTTAGGGGCTTGCGGGTGCTTGAGGTTTGAAGGGCCTGGGGCGTCGACTCGTCCACTGGATACTCTTCCAAAGCCCAGAATACCACCCCAGAGGCAAGGGGTCAGTTGCTGTCTTCCCGGGCAGCTGTCTTGCCGGGCAGACATGTGGACAAATCTGAGCTATGGGTCTGTGCGTGGGTCAGTGATTGAGCCAAAGGTAATTTCTACTGTCTAACACATGTGTTCACATGGCCGAATGGATCAAACGAATTCCCGTCCTCCGCCTGCAGCGGAGCACGACCCTGAGGTGCCGCCGCTGTGCCGAGAGTTCCGAAGGCACGACACCTCGGTGCGTTTCGCCGGCTCACTTGGAGGCTTTTCAGGTATTTTGTAAGGGTCCAGAGCACTAAGCGCGTCGAAGAACTGCAGATATTGCAGGCTCTGACCACACCCGTGCGAGGTGGAGCAACAACTTTCAGGAAGGAGAGCCTTGGGCTGTAAAGCTCGGGTTTCACAGAAGGGAAGCATTTTACCTGTCCGCAACACCCAAGAGCGGTTCTCTTGCTATCATGGCCACGTACCATCTTGAATATGAAGGCGCCTTCGCCAGCATCAGAAATCAAACCATCCTGCAGCTTTCGGTATACAGGTATACGTGTGTGGAAATATATGGTCGCCCCCCCCCCGTTGACAGACCATGCCCTTCCAACTCACACGTAGTGCATGGTCTGTCATCGGGGGGATTTGGCACTCAGCCCCCAAAAACTCAATTCCAGAATTTCCAAAGCCAGCGTGCATGCAAAGAGGGGCAAAAACTGACATGCGCCGATACGCCGTTACGCCGATCGCCCGCCCTTGCCCTAGGCCTCCCCCCCCCCGCCCGCCGATACGCCGATACGCCGTTCCCCGCCCCAAACACCGATACGCCGTTCCAGGCCCCTCTAGCACGTTACTACGCCGATGCGCCGTTCCCCGCGCCCCCGGCCCCCCCCCCCTCCCCCCGCACGCTCATACGCCGACGCCGATACGCCGATACACCTGACACGCCGATACGGCGTTCCCCGCCCCCCCATAGCACGCTAATACGCCGATACGCCGTTCCGCGCCCCCATAGCATGCTAATACGCCGATACGCCGATACGCCGTTCCGCGCCCCCATGCACGCTAATACGCCGATACGCCGTTCCGCGCCCCCATAGCACGCTAATACGCCGATACGCCGATACGCCGTTCCGCACCCCCATAGCATGCTAATACGCCGATACGCCGTTCCGCGCCCCCCTTCCACGCTAATACGCCGATACGCCGATACGCCGTTCCGCGCCCCCATAGCACGCTAATACGCCGATACGCCGATACGCCGTTCCGCGCCCCCATAGCACGCTAATACGCCGATACGCCGATACGCCGTTCCCCGACACGATCATGCGCCGATACGCCGCTGCGGCCAAGCCCGCCGGCCTGGAAGAAACCCACAGCCCGAAAAATGACAAATAGATGATACGCCGACCGCGGCAGCAGACTTCGAAGATTGGGAGCATTTGGCACACATGACTGAAACACGCCGTTTTCGCAGCGTGCCTCCAGCGCCGTACAGCGGTCAGTTCTTGAAAACATTGAAACATTGGGACATTTTATGGCTAGGATTCGGGGTTCAGGGTTCAAGGCTCCAAACTGTTACTACTATTGCCATGACTAGTCAGTACTACGATTTCTACTGTTACTACCGTTGAACAAATACTACTATTACTCACCGGGCTTTGCCTAGGATACGGTATAAAGACATCTCCGTAGCCCACAGCAGCTGACCCTCGCTGTCCGAGAGGGTACCCCAAGAGTCGAAGCACTCTTGATCTATTATAAGACTTATACGGTCTATAGGGTTTATACAGGTTTGAGGTTTTGGGGGTCCTTTCTGCAGACGAAACACCAGAAAAGCTGATCACTTGGATCCAGAGGGCCAGTGTTACCAGAGAACCCAGTATATACCTTTCAATGAAAGAATATACTTTTCAGTATACGGGCGCCCCTGATTTTAAAATCAGAACTTTTCCTCTCACCAGTGAACTCCGAGGATGGAGCCTTGGACTGATGGGGCGCCCGTGATTTTAAAATCAGAACTTTCTATCACCAGTGAACTCCGAGGATGGAGCCTTGGACTGATGGGGCGCCCGTGATATTTTAAAATCAGAACTTCCTATCACCCCTGAACTCCGGGGATGGAGCCTTGGACTGATGGGGCGCCCCTGATTTTAAAATCAGAACTTCCTATCACCAGTGAACTCCGAGGATGGAGCCTTGGACTGATGGGGCGCCCCTGATCTTTAAATCAGAACTTCCTATCACCAGTGAACTCCGAGGATGGAGCCTTGGACTGATGGGGCGCCGCTAATTTTAAAATCAGAACTTCCTATCACCAGTGAACTCCGAGGATGGAGCCTTGGACTGATGGGGCGCCCCTGATTCTTAAGTCAGAACTTCCTCTCACCCGTGAACTCCGAGGATGGAGCCTTGGACTGATGGGGCGCCCGTGATTTTAAAATCAGAACTTCCTATCACCCGTGAACTCCATGAGGATGGAGCCTTGGACTGATGGGGCGCCCCTGATATTTTAAAATCAGAACTTCCTATCACCAGTGAACTCCGAGGATGGAGCCTTGGACTGATGGGGCGCCCCTGATATCTTAAAATCAGAACTTCCTATCACCCGTGAACTCCGAGGATGGAGCCTTGGACTGATGGGGCGCCCCTGATTTTAAAATCAGAACTTCCTATCACCCGTGAACTCCGAGGATGGAGCCTTGGACTGATGGGGCGCCGCTGATTTCAAAATCAGAACTTTCTTTTACCAGTGAGCTCCGCGGATGGAGCCTTGGACTCATGGGGCGCCCGTGATGTTTAAAACAGAACTTCCTATCACCAGTGAACTCCGGGGATGGAGCCTTGGACTGATGGGGCGCCCCTGATTTTTAAATCAGAACTTCCTCTCACCAGTGAACTCCGAGGATGGAGCCTTGGACTGATGGGGTGCCTCTGATTTTTAAATCAGAACTTCCTATCACCAGTGAACTCCGAGGATGGAGCCTTGGACTGATGGGGCGCCCCTGATTTGAAAAGCAGAACTTCCTATCACCAGTGAACTCCGAGGATGGAGCCTTGGACTGATGGGAGGCCCCTGATTTTCAAAACAGAGCTTCCTATCGATTTTTACATCAGAACTTCCTATCACCCGGGAACTCCGAGGATGGAGCCTTGGACTGATGGGGCGCCCCTGATCTTTAAATCAGAACGTCCTATCACCAGTGAACTCCGAGGATGGAGCCTTGGACTGATGGGGCGCCCGTGATTTTAAAATCAGAACTTCCTATCACCAGTGAACTCCGAGGATGGAGCCTTGGACTGATGGGGCGCCCGTGATATTTTAAAATCAGAACTTCCTATCACCAGTGAACTCCGAGGATGGAGCCTTGGACTGATGGGGCGCCTCTGATTTTCAAAATCAGAACTTCCTATCACCCGTGAACTCCGAGGATGGAGCCTTGGACTGATGGGGCGCCCCTGATTTTAAAATCAGAACTTCCTATCACCAGTGAACTCCGAGGATGGAGCCTTGGACTGATGGGGCGCCCGTGATTTTTAAATCAGAACTTCCTATCACCCGTGAACTCCGAGGATGGAGCCTTGGACTGATGGGGCGCCCCTGATTTCAAAATCAGAACTTTCTTTTACCAGTGAGCTCCGCGGATGGAGCCTTGGACTCATGGGGCGCCCGTGATGTTTAAAACAGAACTTCCTATCACCAGTGAACTCCGGGGATGGAGCCTTGGACTGATGGGGCGCCCCTGATTTTTAAATCAGAACTTCCTCTCACCAGTGAACTCCGAGGATGGAGCCTTGGACTGATGGGGCGCCCTGATTTTTAAATCAGAACTTCCTATCACCCGTGAACTCCGAGGATGGAGCCTTGGACTGATGGGGCGCCCCTGATTTGAAAAGCAGAACTTCCTATCACCCGTGAACTCCGAGGATGGAGCCTTGGACTGATGGGGCGCCCGTGATTTTTAAATCAGAGCTTCCTATCACCAATGAACTCCGAGGATGGAGCCTTGGACTGATGGGGCACCCCTGATTTTTAAAACAGAACTTCCTATCACCAGTGAACTCCGAGGATGGAGCCTTGGACTGATGGGGCGCCCCTGATTTTAAATCAGAACTTCCTCTCACCAGTGAACTCCGAGGATGGAGCCTTGGACTGATGGGGCGCCCCTGATTTCAAAATCAGAACTTCCTCTACGAGGATGGAGTTTTGGACTGTTGGGGCGCCCGTGATTTTAAAATCAGAACTTCCTCTCATCAGTGAACTCCGAGGATGGAGCCTTGGACTGATGGGGCGCCCCTGATTTCTAAATCAGAACTTCCTATCACCAGTGAACTCCGAGGATGGAGCCTTGGACTGATGGGGCGCCCGTGATATTTTAAAATCAGAACTTGCTATCACCCGTGAACTCCGAGGATGGAGCCTTGGACTGATGGGAGGCCCCTGATTTTCAAAACAGAGCTTCCTATCGATTTTTACATCAGAACTTCCTATCACCCGGGAACTCCGAGGATGGAGCCTTGGACTGATGGGGCGCCCCTGATTTTTAAATCAGAACTTCCCATCACCAGTGAACTCCGAGGATGGAGCCTTGGACTGATGGGGCGCCCCTGATTTTAAAATCAGAACTTCCTATCACCCGTGAACTCCGAGGATGGAGCCTTGGACTGATGGGGCGCCCCTGATATTTGAGAATCAGAACTTCCTATCACCCCTGAACTCCGGGGATGGAGCCTTGGACTGATGGGGCGCCCCTGATTGTTAAATCAGAACTTCCTATCACCAGTGAACTCCGAGGATGGAGCCTTGGACTGATGGGGTGCCTCTGATTTTTAAGTCAGAACTTCCTCTCACCCGTGAACTCCGAGGATGGAGCCTTGGACTGATGGGGCGCCCGTGATTTTAAAATCAGAACTTCCTATCACCAGTGAACTCCGAGGATGGAGCCTTGGACTGATGGGGCGCCCCTGATTTTTAAATCAGAACTTCCTATCACCAGTGAACTCCGAGGATGGATCCTTGGACTGATGGGGCGCCTCTGATTTTTAAACCAGAACTTCCTATCACCCGGGAACTCCGAGGATGGAGCCTTGGACTGATGGGATGGGAGGCCCCTGATTTTCAAAACAGACCTTCCTATCACCAGTGAACTCCGAGGATGGAGCCTGGACTGATGGGGCGCCCCTGATTTTCAAAATCAGAACTTCCTATCACCAGTGAACTCCGAGGATGGAGCCTTGGACTGATG